AGCCACAGGTACAGATGGCTTGCCAAACCAGATATTTCTTTGCGAACTTTGACAGTTTCATGTGCTTGAAAACATCTGCTACCTTTCCCCTTCCTTTTGCCGTATAAAACTCCTGTCCCGGAAGCTGCTTGTAGTCGGCTTTGACGTAGGTTTCGTCGTCCATTACCACGCAGTCAAACTTCGTCGTATACAGTCGTGTACAGCCTCCGGGATCGCGCTTTGGCCGTCGTATTTTGTTTATCATCGCGATTTGGAGTCACTACCTTCTTGTAAGTCGATAGTCCGGCTCGTTTTTTGGCTCGATGCATGGTTGTAGACGATACACCCAGCTTATTTGCGGCATCTCGGAGAGAGAGGTTAGGGTTTCGCTTGAAACTACCGGCAACTCTCTTTGTCGTCTCAGCGGCATCCGGTTTTCGATTTTCCCCCGATCCAGACTTCCTGGCTGTCGACAAACGTTCCCCAAACACTTTAATTACATTTGTAACGGTTGATTTGGCAACTTTTTAGCGATTTTGCCAACTTTGCGTGCGAGTAGCTCGGATTTTCGCGGTGCGCGAGCAAAATTTTGATACGCTGCTCTTCTTTCTTGGACGGCATTTTGACAACTGAAGAGTGAATTCCAAAATCAAAATAGGAGCAACATTCTACACACACACACCTTCAAAATGAGGGGTGTTCAGGTTTTTTAAATGCAAAATTGAAAGAAATACGTCAAGTTGATATTGACCAAATTTTGACCGTATCACCCTTTAGACTCAGAAATTGACTCTATAACATATGTACATACCTACACGAACATGTTCCCATCCCTCCCACATACATACAACCCTCACACACACACATACACACACATACATGCATACAAAAACGAGAACATAGGGGAGACATTTCTTAAGCTTTACTTCGTATAGGTCAATAAGCAACTCCAAAAGATTATGTAGAATAAGTTCAATTGGTATAGGGGGTCTAATGGAAAATGCTCATGAATCAGTGATGGAAAAGTTCGCGAAAACTCACTATGAATCGCGAACTTTTGCCTTGGTGAACTTCGTGAAATATCGCGAACTTTTCCAACACTGCTCATGATTAACTACCTTAACGGGAGGTGCTTACATACCGAAAAGTGCCCTGGAAAGTAAGTAGTTATTGAATCACGGCAATTGATTGACATGATGAGAGCCCGATTCTAAAACTATTATTGAAACTATGATTGACAGTGGGGTCAGTTTAGTAGGTTTTTAAGTAAAACTAATCAGATTTCAACCAAAACATTAACAGATTTTTATTTAATTCAATTCAATTTCATTGGCGAACCGAGCTGGTGATGTAACCGAAATAAAAAAAATAAAACCAATTCATGAGCAATCACATAATGAAGATTAGCTATAAATTGATGCCTTATTGAAAGGCACACGAAGGGCAGCGAGAGTCCTGGCATTCATGGAACCACAAGCAGCACTTGGAACATTTGATCCAATCCTGTCCTTTGTCAGAAGAACTGAAACAACAGCCACATACTTCGCAGAGCGTATCTTGAGCAAGCACCGTTTTAGTTTGATTGCTCTTTCCTTTCAGACGTCCTCGTTTGCGTTTGGGTGTTTCGGCATCACTGTTAGAAATGTGTCTTGTGTCAGCTTTGATCGCATTCTTTAGCTGACCAATATCCTTCAAAGCCTGCGATGACTTCAACCCATTTCGGCTGGAGCTTGAGGTTATGTTTCGAGCTTTCTCCCTCTTTCGTCCACCGCCAACTTTTCTGGTAACTGTTTTCGGTAGCGGCGGGATTTCCGCAGGAGACACTTTGAAGATGCTTCGGACAGACAAACCGGCTGGAACATTCGAATCCAACGGCGCCAAAGTAGCTTTCGGAGTCAGCATGTTGTTAGCATCCACTTTAACAATCCCTTTTGGAGCGATATTTTCCTTTTCGTTTGACAGTGAAAGGTTGATATCTCCTACCTCATTGTGCATTCGCGAAGGTCCTGCTTCAGTATCGGCTGCGTTGGATTCAAGAGCTTCGTCACCAAGTTCATTGTTTGAACGATCGGTTTCTGGGTCTGCTGGAAGAACGTCCGTTACGTCAGCCGGCGCAAAATCATTATCGTTGAAGATAAACCGGTTCAGCGGAAAAATTCCTGCCTAACGGAATCCGTTGACACCAAGAGCCGCGTTAGAAGTCTTCATGAAAACCGAACCGAAAATCCGGCTGATTTCGTTCAGGGTGACAACCCTAGCAGGATTGAATTTGAGGAAACTCTCCACTTCCTTCGTGAAAGCCGTATTGAGCGGCCCCATGTAGCTTATGTCGAGAAGCTGTAGTTTGTGGCTGCAATGGGGGGGCAAGCACACGACTGTCACATGGCACTCACGCGCTCTTTCAATAAAGCCAAGGTTCTTCGTATGCGAAGAATGACCGTCCAAAATCAAAAGAACCGGGTTATCATCTGTTGGACGCGTGTGCTTTAGAAAATGCTCGAACCAGGTGTTGAATTCTTTCACAGTCATCCAACCGGAAGAGTTGCAGACAAATACCGTGTCTGGTGGAGCACCTTCCATAAGACTGGAAGTCAAACGGCCCTAGGGAATATCATCATAGGTGGCAGTATTTATCCCGTTGCTGACATGCAAATGCTTGCAGTGGAAAGTAGCCCTCTTTCCGCCGATGTCACAGCTCCTACCTGCCGTCGGCCTTTCAAGGCAAACACTTTGGAACGTTTCGTTTGCACCTAAGAATACAAAATGAGTCAAAACATGCATTTTATTTGATTGTGCACAGAGGTTTCATCAACGTTGAAAATCCTGCTGGCACTGAATTTGCCTCCGTCCATTTCACGATGCAGCACATCGAAGAAGTTGTCGACCGCTATCTTGTTGAATGCTTGCAACCTTGCAGCTAAGGTAGCCTCAGGAGTACGGAGCGAGTGTTTGGGATGACGCTTCCGAAAACCGTGAAGCCAATCCCAACCAGCCAGCTGTGTCTTCGTATTGAAAACATGTGCTTTCACGTTGCGTTCGGCCAGCTGGAAGGTAAGGCTCCGGATGTCGCGGGTAGTAATTCCGTAGCATCGAACCTCAAAGTCCAAAATGTGGGCCATTAAAACAGCTTCCTCGGCAGGTATGAAAACTGTTTTGAATGAGCCGATTTGCTTCACCTCCTGGCCCAGTACTTCTGCAGTTTTCAGATAGCGGATCAGCGTAGGTCTTGGAATTCCATGGTCCTTGGCTGCTCGTTTGATGGACGTTCCACTCCGGCGGACAGAATCTATGGCCGCTTCCATGGCCGTTTTGGACCACTGCTGCCTTCCCGATTGTCTTTTGTACGTTTGCACCATCACAGCCACCAAAACACTGCGTAGGTAAACAATGTAAACAAGTTAACAAAGTGGGCGTTGAGGTTAGATTCCAGAAACAAGTGGTGTTCATTTTGCCCGTACTAGAGGTGTTCGTTTCGCCCCTAATCGACTATATTAATTTGAATGCATTTTTTTTTAAATAAATTATAGCGGCGCCGGTGGTGTAGTGGTAAGCGTGATTACCTCTCACCCCAGCAGGCCTGGGTTCAATCCCAGTCGGCGCCGCCGGGATGTTCTGAGGCATAACATTTGTAATCACGCCTTCCTTCGGAAGGGAAGTAAAGCCGTTGGTCCCCGGTTCATGAGTTGATGGGTCGATAGGTAGGGTCCAGGTGTGGGAACTGCCTTCCTGGCGTCGGTAGCATTGGTGCTCAGCACGGAAAACAAGATCGACGGAAAACAAATCCGAGGAAAAAAAAAAATAAAATAAATTATTGCAAAAAACAATATTGTGATTAATGTCAACTTTCAGCAGCGATACAAAGAACGTGTTTGGGACAAATAGGTAATTGATAATAAATATTCTGAACCGTTCGTAAAACCTTATTTTTCTCTGGTTAGAAATTATAATATTTCAAACCCTTGAGTTATGATTTCTAATTTTTCATATATTTCGGTGGTTAAAAGAGGATATCAACTGTTCTATTGAAAAATTATATGTTTGATAGTGGTAAAAATGATTAACAACTTACATTTCCGTTTAAATTTAAAAGATTTTGTTATTTTGAGGGTGTCCATTTCGCCCCACGTGTTCATTATGTCCCTAATCCCCCTAAGACTCAATTTTATGTCATAATTGACGCTCGTATATGTCAGTATCAGAGCACCTAAATTTACATGAATTTTTCTAAGTGTTTAGGTTATTCATGACTCGTTCAGAATAATTTAAACTTGTGAACCTTTAGCCTGAGAGGTTAAGTTTAATCGTATGTAATGCCAACTTCTGACTTGTTTATGATTTGTAACTGTTGTATCAATAGTATTAATTATATCGGATAAAATCGTAAGGCTTTCCATACTGAATATGTTATTTTATGGTTAAGTTGTGTATGCAATCGATTATAAAGTAAATTTTAATTTGCACGAATAATTTTCGAGTACACTTTTGTACATTTTGTGCATCATAAACGATTAATTTCTCCCTCTAAGGCGACTCATAGCCCTTAACTATGAGGCTGTGAAAAAAGCTAGAGATTGATATAAGTTTCATGGTAAGAAATTCTATGATTTTTTTTATGAAATAATTCCATGAACTTTTTTTCCCATTCTGAAAGATGAATTTTAAGAAAAGCTAACTTTTTAATCTGTAAGTCTTCTGAAGGGCCGTCGAATTTCCCCTGAAATTCCGATGATCATAAATATATACCAATTGACCACTTTGTCAAGCAGTTTTGGCGTGACTTTTTACCAGCTATTTCACAAAACTGCACCAACTAATTTCTATTTTGTTATGAAACGCACAAATGTTGGCTACTTTTCTCGTGGTTCTAGAAGAAAAAATCTCAAAAATAATGTTTTATTTCAAAGTTCATGTGGTAGTAAACGTCTTTTTAACTGCTCGAATGAAGTGGTTAATTAACAAGACATTTACATATTTGTAATTGTATGTGTCTCGCTCGAAATAAAAAAAAAAGATCCACTCACCTTCAAAGCATTCGCCGTCGATCGGGTCCGGCTTTTGTAGATCACCAGGAACACCATAAGGCCAAAGAAGCCACCGAGGGTGGCCGCTATCCGGACGCCGGTCATCACGTCGTACGTTGCGAAGAATTCCATCCTCTGTCGCTGCCGATCCCGGTCCGCCTGCGTTTGGTTGCTGCAGAGACGAGACGAGGGCAATGAGAGTGATGAAGAGGTACCTTCTTTGTGAATGGAACTGGTGACACTTTCTGTTAGTCTACCAGGCGCACTAACTGCACCGCTACGAGTACTATTGCCAACGCCACCGCTACCGGGGCTGGTGGCGGCGGTGGCCGTTGTCCGAGGAACGGCAGTAGTAGTACTAGTACTAGTAACGCTAGTGGTACTGACAGTAGTAGCAGCAGTGATTGCAGCCGTAGTACTGTTGCTGCTACTATTACTGCTGGTGGTCCTGTAGTTGTTGTTGGTAGTACTGATGATTGATATAGACATAGTAGAGATGACACACCGATAGGCACGAGAGATATATAGGCACAATCAGGCACGAAGGATAGAACGAGTATTTTGTAGTATGATGATGTGTGTAATTAGAGAAGCTCACGCGGAAGTAGCGTCACGAATGATGTGTGTTGGTTGATAGTTCGTTAGTTACACACACACACACACCGAACAACAGCAGAGCATGAGAGTCGCAGTACACGTCAACGGAAAGTGAGAATAGATCCAGACAGATGAAAGTAGTAAGAAAAACGAAAGATTAAGATAAGTATGAATGTAACATAGACGGTTTGTAGTAAAACTCTACTAAATTAGCGGTTTATCAAGGCGATTAACGTAACCACGATGCTTTAATGGTGGGAAATATCTTTTGCTAATAAACTAGTGCTTTACCGAGGAGCTGTTTTATTAGAAATCAAGTTGGCACAGTGGTTTAGTTGAAAGCACTTTTAGGACAATAGTACGCAGCTTCTCTGACCAATTTAATGATCCCAGTTGTTGCTTCCTATTAAAAAGCAAATTAATTTTGAAGATGCAATTTGTAACACCGTCCTCAACTGCCGTCTACCCATTGTGCGGGTTCGTCGAGACGGTAAAATATGCAGGCAAACCTACCTAACCATCAGGGAAAAGGTCCGGCATCTATCTGACAAACGGTCGTGTGATGGCCTTTTCAGAGCCATCATCGCTTCACCCTTGGCCTGAGATCTCCTCTAGATGGAGTAATAGATCAAAACGAGCCTTTAAAGCTGTCAGATGAACGTACCGAGATAGGAAAGTTGCCAGGAATGGTGATGAGAGAAACGCGAACATGGCGTCCGTCCGTCTGGTGGTCGGTCCGGACGGAAACCCGTGTAATGTTTGTTGGCGTGGCGCGTGGCTTGGCGGTTATATTGTAGAGCAGTGTGATGTCGTGGCATATCGGATGAGATGGCACATGGTGGTTGAGGAAGGGAGCTGATTTACATCGGCGGATGTGACGGTTGGTTGACTTGGGGAGCTTAATAAGATTTATTGCAGGCAGACCTGTTGAATTGGCCTGGCTCCCCGAAACTTCTTCCCACAGACGTGTGCACGTGTGAGTGGTGGTTTGTTCCGGGAGATCCGGACAAGTGTCTTTATTAAAGCGATTAAAGTGCGATACGATGCTTATGGCTGCTCGGCAATTGGTTTGTGCAAATAAACTTATCTTGAACTATCAGACGTACCAGTATTTTAATACTTAGTAGTAATATATGTATAACTAATAAACTAAAAGTTCTGAATAAAAATACAATAACCGTTACATAACACTGCATGATTTGACATGCAACTAAAAACACTACTACAATTAAAAATGTTACACTTCGCTATTTCCCCGGTCTTTATGCAAGAACCATTCATCTACGCTGCTGTAATCAATTCGATGGAGACGCGTGGTTGCTCATTACGAATAATTGACCACTTTGTCAAGCAGTTTTGGCGTGACTTTCTACCAGCGACTTCACAAAACTGGACTAACTAATTTCTATTTTTTATGAAACGCACAAATTTTGACTAGTTTTCTAGTCAGGAATTAGTAGGAAAAATCTCAATATGATGTTTTATTTCAAAGTTCGAGTGGTAGTAAATGTCATTTTAACTGCTCGAATGAAGTGGTTAATTCTCCACAAATCCGAAACAGCTTGCAAATAAAGTTTCAATTAGCTGACACAGCAAAGTTTTCATCGGTATTCACATACCAGAGTATTGACCGGCTCAGTCCTACTTGGTACAAATGTTAAAACCCAGAAGCTAAATTGATTAAAAACACATTCCTTCTTAGTTAACGAAGCTCAATTCACAGTGACCACTCCGAGGGTTTCTGATTTTCCACTCGAAATGCCAGAGTTGTATTGCATCCATTTACCATAATGAGATCTCCCAGCTTGCGGTGCATCCACGTGGATACACTTATGCCATCTTGCTCCTGCTTGTACATGCTCACACTGCCCGGTTGGGGAACAATTGGTTTTCCAAAGGACGTAAACAAAGATTCAAACGTCAATTTTTCGAAACTCTTAGCTCGCCTATGCAAACTAACACCACCATAAAAAAAGGGTAATGTTTCCCCAACAAGATAGTCATACTAATTTCCGTTTATTTACAAAAGCAGTTACGCCCTTTTGAAAAATCATTCTTAAATTATTTGCAGGGTCCTCCACCATCTGTCCATCGTGGTTACGTTTATCGATACATTGTGCACCACTGTGTAACACTAACAATTGTATATGCACTACCTATTCTAAGCGATAGAAGAGTGACATGGGATAGGGTAGGATTAACAAAGCGGCTTTTGAAATTAGTGATGTGTCGGCACATGATGGCACCACATTTGTGGAAACGCCTAGTGGGTGGTGGGTGATGGAGTTGATGATAATGGCCATGTTAGCGGGTTGTTTTCGGACGAAAAAAAAATACAGGATTCGAATAATGCTCATACCTAAACGTCGGTGTCGTGTGCTTTGGGGTTGTGGTTGACGTATAGAAAGGTCCTGTGGAGTCCGACAGTGGATCAAGAGCGTTGGAATTCGCTGCTGCCAACGAGGGCGACGGCGCTGATTGGAGTGTTGCGGTTTTTGGTGGATGATAGGACGACGATGGAGGTGATGAGCTGCTGCTGCTTCGGCTGCTGTAGAAGGAAGAGCTAGTGAATGTGGATGTGGATGCTAGAGCTGGTCCGGAGGATGATGTTGCGCCAGTTGATGACGTGGTTGAAGAATGCAAAAAGGACAAGGTCGGCGACGACGGATCTGACGCAACTGACCGTCGCGCGGCTTTTCCCATTGCTATGGAAACATTCTCTGAAAATGAGAGAGAGAAAGAAGAAATAGTGTGAATGTTAGTTTGGAAGGTAATTCAATTATGCCATGGGTAATTGGCGGGAGAAAACTGCACGAATCTCGGTGATTCTGTATGGGTGTGCTTGGAACACGTTGAGTCATTATCTTATGTGCGGTTTTCGGTGAATAGCTATTTTCACATGGTTATTTAACAAAAAAAAAAAAACAAGTGTGTTGAGCGCAAGAAATCTGGTTTCTGGATGTAAACAATTTTTCAGTTGTTGTTTACAGTTTCAGTTGTACAGTCCATTGGAGGGAGGCGAGCAGAGATAAAAACCAAATTACCCGAATGAAGATGTCTGTGGTTTTGCGGACTGGTTCCGCGTGGAATGCGCTCGTGTTGTCGGCTTTTGTTTATCGTGGGAATGAAGGGAAATATTCTCTTTGTTTGGGTCAGTTAATTTGGATGTAGTTCTTCGAGTTAATGTGTTCATAATAATCCTGGGAATGGCCTTGGAGCAGTTGGTTATTGTAGTTAAGAGTGTGAAGGAGTGAGGTATGTACATCATCAAATGTTTACAGTGATGGTACAATAGTGTATTGCGTTTTGGGTAACACGTTGATGGTTGTTTTTTAGACAATTTATAATTTCAATAATGCTACTCAATTGGCAGGGCATAATTTTCATATTTCTTTAAGGAGCATAATGAATTTGGTATAGCATAAGCGAGTATAGAATGAACCAATTGAAGCGTTTGTTGTAATGCCATCTAGTGTCAATTTAAAAAAAAAGTATAGATGTAATGATAGTACACGACTAGAAAATGGTTCCCAGCGACCAGTTCACTTTTCCTTACTTTTGATAGTATGTCTCCTTTTCTCCTTCTAATGTTGCCAAAAACAATAAAAATTAATGAGATAAGATTAAATTTGTTCGTTTGTGGTTGTGTATGAAAAAACTGATTAAGGTTGTGTTGATTCTGCCATGGTTATTGTATTTGGTGGGCTTGTTCCAGTTATGTCGCTTTCGTTATTGCGGTGTAGCACCGGTGTAGTGTAAACAGGAATAAGCGCGAGTCTTTGACAGCTTAACATCATTAGTTTTTAAACAAAGGTGCATCCTATATCAACACCCTAAATTATTTCAGTGTACAGCAGTGTAGCACCGCAAAAACGAAAACGAAATAAATTCCGTATAATTTGAGTGCATCACATGAACTTAAGTTTACTTTAATTGATTATAATTAAAATTGAAAAGACATAGAGGTTTTGGACCTACGGGAGAAGAGGTAGTAAAATTATTTTCACTCCCGCGAGTTTTCCTCTCAATCAATAGAAAAAAAAAGATAAAATACAACATATTTCCTTCCTTTTAATTAGCTACGGGTGTGACAACGATGGCGAGTTCACTATGTTATATTTTCATTTTATTTCAGCAACCTTATCTTCCAGCAGATGATCCGGACAGCAATTTCAACATTAATAAAAAAAAACTATATATGCCAGCAACACTGACTGGGTGTATCCTATGGCTTACCTTCCCTACTAACATAATTCCTAAATTCCCGAGACATTTATGAGGGGTCGTCGAGTTCTCTGCATCTCTCTTAAGTAAATGTTGGACTAACATACCTTTCCTATCCCTACCAGTTGTAAGGACGTGGCCAGGACAGTCTTTAACTGTTGGAGCGGGATATGTCTTTATCTGGGAGATAGTAATTACTTCCTACTTACTATCTGTCCAGTAATAGATATCCGTCTTGCTCTTAATAGTTTTGAATTCGTACCACCTACGATATTGTGCAACTTGTTCGATGCTAATGCTAATGCTAATAATGAATTTGGTATAGCATAAGCTGGTATTTAAAAGTGTATTTCCTTCTTAGGACTGTTCATGAACTCCATAGAAACGTTTTTTTGGAGGACTTAGTTTAAGTTGGATAATGTTACATCTGAAAGTCCATACATTAAATTTATTTTGTTATACAATTATAAGCAATTATATGTTTTTTGAGTGAAAGTTTACGATTGTGAAATGTTATACAAAGTTTTACCGATAATCAAAACCTTAAACTTTGCTGAAGATACCGATTTGCGAATTTGCAATTTTAATTGAGATTGGATGCAATTTTATGGATTCCCCACACGGTGTCTCTGGAAGGATAACCGTATTATAAAAAAATCAGTATCGCGGAACCAAGCATCAAACAAAAGCTTAGGAGCCCCTCTTTCGTTTGAGGCTAGTTTCAAAATGTTCTATCGGGGGTCATTTTTCCATACATTTCAATGGTCGAGAGAGTTAATTTTTGGACGTGATTTACATTGGAATATACAAAAAAAAATATCGAAATTCTTCCCTTATAAAACACAATTATTTACTATTCTCATATGAAAGAGGTGACCCCAAGCTTTTGATTGGTGGGTGTTTCAATGATACTGATTTTTATATTTATTTTATGCGCTGGAAGAAAAATTTATTATAAAAATCAGTAAATTTTACCTCAATCAACTATAACGCATCTTTTAAGCAGTTTAAATAAGAGTAATTTTCTGTTTTACTTAGAGCGTGATATCTGACCATCAATGCAATAATTTGAGAATTTTAAATATTGTCGATTGGTTTTTTAATAGGTCCTTTCTACCCAAGTAACCAAAAAGCCAACAAGCTGCGCGTTTTAAATATAAGTCTGATACACGGTTAATAAAGCATTGGTGTTCTATATTGGCCGCTTGTCAGTCTTTGTTTGAAACGATCTCAATGTAGCCATTCAGATCCATTCCGATTTCAGGGTGCCCACTACCTGGAAGAAAAAAAAAAAACCTTGGGAAACAGGGAACGTCAGGAAATTCATTTTTGTACGTGGGAAATCAGGGAATCTCAGGAGGTTTGATTACAATTCAGAGAAATGTTTCTTAATTACAGAAACTTATTATTAATCGCTAGTTCCAAATAACTTAATTATAAAAACAGTACTTAAGGGTGTTAGGTTTTGATAAGTTCTTTAAAGGGTGATACGGTCAAAATTTGGTCAAGGGAAAACGCGTGTAAATCGGTGAAATCGTTTATTTAAAAAATCAAATTAAATTTCTTTTTCAAGTTCAATTAGTATAAAATTCAGGAAAAATATTCAGTTAGGCTTCCGCTTTTCCAAATCCGAATTGCCGGGCCTTACGCTTGACCCCTGCCATCAGATTTTGTACAGCCACCTTGTCCACCTTCTTCGCCGCAGAAAGCCAGTTTGCCTTGAACTGCTGCTCGCCCTTAGCAGTTTTTTTGGTCTTCTTTAGGTTCCGCTTGACAATAGCCCAGTATTTCTCAATTGGGTGGAGCTCTGGCGTGTTGGGAGGGTTCTTGTCCTTGGGAACCACCTGCACGTTGTTGGCGGCGTACCACTCCATGGCCTTTTTACCGTAATGGCAAGATGCCAAATCCGGCCAAAACAGTACGGAACAACCGTGTTTCTTCAGGAAAGGCAGCAGACGTTTATTCAAACACTCTTTCACGTAAATTTCTTGGTTGACAGTCCCGGAAGCTATGAAAATGTTGCTTTTCAAGCCACAGGTACAGATGGCTTGCCAAACCAGATATTTCTTTGCGAACTTTGACAGTTTCATGTGCTTGAAAACATCTGCTACCTTTCCCCTTCCTTTTGCCGTATAAAACTCCTGTCCCGGAAGCTGCTTGTAGTCGGCTTTGACGTAGGTTTCGTCGTCCATTACCACGCAGTCAAACTTCGTCAGCATCGTCGTGTACAGCCTCCGGGATCGCGCTTTGGCCGTCGTATTTTGTTTATCATCGCGATTTGGAGTCACTACCTTCTTGTAAGTCGATAGTCCGGCTCGTTTTTTGGCTCGATGCACGGTTGTAGACGATACACCCAGCTTATTTGCGGCATCTCGGAGAGAGAGGTTAGGGTTTCGCTTGAAACTACCGGCAACTCTCTTTGTCGTCTCAGCGGCTTCCGGTTTTCGATTTCCCCCCGATCCAGACTTCCTGGCTGTCGACAAACGTTCCCAAACACTTTAATTACATTTGTAACGGTTGATTTGGCAAATTTTAGCGATTTTGCCAACTTTGCGTGCGATTTTCTCGGATTTTCGCGATGCGCGAGCAAAATTTTGATACGCTGCTCTTCTTGCTTGGACGGCATTTTGACAACTGAAGAGTGAATTCCAAAATCAAAATAGGAGCAACATTCTACACACACACACCTTCAAAATGAGGGGTGTTCAGGTTTTTTAAATGCAAAATTGAAAGAAATACGTCAAGTTGATATTGACCAAATTTTGACCGTATCACCCTTTAGTGGGAATGACACTGATGATGACTGCACATTGTAGTCGAAATACGTATCTGTGGATAACCAAATTATTTAAGTGAAATTAAATGGAAGATAACCATTTAGCTGTTTTATTCAAGCATTCCGCTAACAACCCCATTTCATTACTTTCATTACTTCAACTTAATTAGTCGGTGTAGTTTGAGGATGGTTGTTTATTTCAAATTTTAAAAATAGTCGCGAACTTGTGATTGCTCAATGCTTCTGTTGCATTTTTGCAAGTTGAGCCAAAACTACATAAAAGGGCACTTCAATGGTTTTGAGCCTAATATAGATTCAGCTCCTGGTTGGTAGATTGGTGCATCTGGTCGATCCAGGGAGTGTACCCCATTAGGCATAAATACGTTAGGCATACGGACGTTAGGCATACGGACGTTAGGCATACGGACGTTAGGCATAATGGACGTTAGGCATAAAGTCATTAGGCATAATGGACGTTAGGCATAATATACGTTAGGCATAATGGACGTTAGGCATAAAATACCTTGCTGCTGTGCAACTCTAGAAACCTGCTAACCTGTAAACCTGTAAACAATGCTTAAATTAGGCTTAGCGTTGAATAAAAAATGATATAAGTTAAACAAACATAGTTTATTTAATAAGCACAGTTTGGAATCCATTATTTATCATATCATAAGTGACGTATCTACATATTTACTTAGATCCATGATTAGTAGCGAT